GGAGCTTCTGCATCTTCCCTTCGGTCCGAAGAGTTTCCTATCTCCTTCATCAGAGAATGTCCTCATTTCACCTCTGCTCCTGGAGGCCATATTCGTGCCTCCATGTAGGGTTGTACGGTTCTGAGTTTGACGCTTCTCTTTCAGACTAAGAAAGTGCCGGCCCACCAGGGCATTCCAGCTGTTGTTCGCTCTCTGTCACGCGTCACTTTTCTCTGGTTGTTTTGGAGATGTTTTTCCATTATCTTTAGTGTTCAGCAGTTTGACTGTAGCATGTCTGGGTGTGGATTTCTTTGGGTTTATCTTGTTTGGGAGCCATAGAGTTTCTCGAGTCTGTAGACAAAAGTCTTTCTCCAAATTTGGGAAGTTTTTAGTCATTCTTTCAGCTATTTTTCACAATGGCTCCCTTTCTCCTTTCCTCTTTGCCCTCTAATGGTGCAAATGTTAGACTTTTTCTCTTGTCCTGAAGGTCCCCAAGGCTTTTTATTTTTTTTCAATCTTTTTTCTCTCTGGCACTCAGATTAGGTAACTTACGTTGCTCTGTCTTCAGGTTCACCGAATCTTTGCTCTTGAGCTCCTGTAGGGAGTTTTATCATTTCAGTGCTGTATCTTTTAGTTTTAAAATTTCCATTTGGTTCTTCTTTGCCTTTTGTTTTTGTTTGTTTGTGTTTTGCTGACTTTCAGCTTTTATTGTTCGATTTGGGAATGCTGTAATTGTTACAGTAGTTGCTTTATAAAGTCAGGTAGACAGTTGCAACAGCTGTGTCATTGTGGCATTGGCGTCCTTAGATTTTTTTTTTTTTCCCATAGTGGTTGAGATCTTCCTAGTTCTTTGTGTGCTGAGTGATTTGGATTGTAACTGGACATTTTGGAAATTATGATGTGAGACTCTGGGTCTTGTTTAAGTCCTTTGATTATATTGATATTTTTATTTTAGCAGGCAAACAACCTGGGTAGATTTGGGCTGGTTCTGACTTGCCTTCTGTGGGTTGCGGCTCCGTGTCAATTCCGTTTTTACAGCTTCAGCAGTGCCTTTTGGATCTACCCCACTGTGTGCCGCTCATGGCCGTCTGGGAGCTGGTTGTGGTCTCGGGGTTTGGGTTTGGACTATGAAGAGGATCAGTCTATGCCTGTGCAGCTTGAGCTTGGGCTCAAAGCTCAGGAGAGATTTTTTTGGGCTTGCTCTTCTGAGCTTCCTCCTCTCCACACTGCTCCTGGGACTTCTCAGGTCCCTGGGGGCTTCCCTTTCTTGTTCTGCAGCCATCACATAAGCTGTCCCATTGCATACTGGCACCTTGTGCTGGGAGGAGTGATCTGGGGCTTCTTCTGTTCCGTGTCTCATCCAGCCCACCTGCTGCTCCTTCCTTCTTAGAATGCCATTCAGCTCCCCCTATACCCCACATGGGGTCAGAGCCCCGATCTAGGGTCACAGCAGATTGAGCAGGAGGCAGGCCTGGAGTGTGCCAACACCACCCTTGGAGCTGGCATGGAAGTCAGGTTCAGACGTTGCCTGCCTTCGTTTCTGTGCCTTTCCACCAGCCGTGGCATCGTGCTTTCTGTCCCTTGTAAACAGCCACCTCCTGGTGCATCATGCCTCTCTGATGGTGGTTCCTACAGGCTTCCCATAGTCCTTGTAATCTCCACCTGTCTGTGCAGCTGGACAGCTGGTGCAGGGGTGGGGCTGGGGGAGGGTTCTATCTTTTCCATCTCTGTCCCTAGTGTGTTTGGAGGAACCACCTGGGAGGCAGCTGCGTTCAGGGAGGCATTGTTGCGCCCCTCCGAGGCTGTGCTGGGCAGATGTGGTGTTGGAGAGGCACTGTGACAGGGCTGTCAAACCCTCCCAGAGAGCCCTCAGCACCAGCAGCTAGGCTTGTGGCCACCAAGGTAGAAAAGGTGGCAGGAAGAGAGAGCATGTGTGGTGGCCCAGGTCCCCTGCACTGTGATGCACCTGGAGGCCAGGAGAGCCTGTCCCCAGAGAGCGTGGAGGAAGCAGAGGCTGCACAAGGACTCTGGCCCATGTGCCCTGGGAGACATACCAGACTCCAGGGGCCTGGCTGTGCCCACATCAGCCATCCCCAGTACCCAGGCCCCGAAGCTACCTTGGAAGGCTTGTCGGGTGCCCCTTGCCCACGTCCTCAGAGAACAGGTGGCTTTGTGTTTTGTTCTAGCCGAGGATGGCGGCCCAGGTGACACTGGAGGACGCACTGTCCAACGTGGACCTCCTGGAGGAGCTGCCCTTGCCCGACCAGCAGCCCTGCATTGAGCCCCCGCCGTCCTCGCTACTCTACCAGGTGGGTGCCCCAGCGGCCATGGAGGGCACAGCCGGGGCTCTGACCTCTCCATGATGTTTTTTCTCTTCCTTTCAGCCAAATTTCAACACTAACTTTGAAGACAGAAATGCATTTGTCACTGGCATCGCGAGATACATCGAACAAGCAACCGTCCATTCTAGCATGGTAATGCTGTCTGCGTGTCTTTGTTTCTCTCTGGGGGACTGGCACATTTGAATGGCAAGTGCACACTTTTTTGGTTTTATCCTGATAGACTGTGCAGTGAGGAAAAAGAGAAGAAAATGAATGAAATGCCTTATATTTTTAAGAAAGTCTTTGTTTTTGTTGTTATAAAAACAATAACATGCTTTCTGAAGATTTAGCGTCGATGGCCCAGAGAAAACCTTTGTCATTGTTTGGAGGTCACCCCTGCCTTGTTAGTGCTTACTGCCTCTCCAGATCTACACTCACACGCCTGTATACACCCACATGGGATTTAGATTTTATAAATGAATTGCACTGTTGTTACAGTGACATATTTTAGTGATTTCATGAACATTTTCATATGTCATGAAAACGTGCTGGAGAAAGTAATCTTTAATGGCCGCATAATCCATTTTGTGAATGTCCACAATTTAGTTTTGCACATTTACTTAGTTTTCTCTTTTGTCTAATAAAAAAAATGCTGTGATGAACCTCTTTCTAAATATTGGCTAGATTTGAAGAAGTGAAGTTAAAGAGCCAAAGGTTGTGAGCATTTTAAAGCACCTTAAAAGCATTGTCAGATTGTAGTTGACATTTTACAGAGCATTTATGTCATTTTTACTATTTTTACCAGAGGAAACAATGCAAAAGAAAGAATAGAACACAAAAGCAGTTTTATAAAAAATGATAAGTCCTGTTCCCGTGGATACTCTCCCTAGATTTTAAGTGCTGTGGGAATGCTTCTAGCTTTTCCTCCCAAGACACCCAAGGCTGGCCGCCCTGTCTCTGAGTCTTCTCTGGGAACAAGGAGGCCTGGTTTAACCCTGTGAAGAGATCACTGAGGACCCTGTGTGTGCTCACGCTGCACTGGGGCATCTGTCCTGAGCCCTGCCCCTGTGTCCCCAGCTTTAGGTCTCATTGCTAGCAGGTTCTTTAGGGCTGGGTGGAGCTGAGGTGCAGCGTGTGTGGCAGCCACTCAGAGATGACCGCACGTCTGATACCCCCTCCAGCCTGCAGAAGCTGTGGAGTGTTTCGGGTGGTTGTTGTGGCCCCACCGCTGCACCCCTTGTCACTAGCTTCTTAGCAGATGTCTGTTGGCACGCAGACCTCAGTGCTTGTCTGTCCATGGAAGAGAGAGTCAGGATAGTTTGTGGAATTTTGTCTAGACCCTAGCAATTTGACATCTCTTTTTTCATGCTTGTTCCCCTACCTGCCTTTGACTTGCCCTGGGTTTTCGTGCAGAACGAGATGCTAGAGGAAGGCCAAGAGTATGCTGTCATGTTGTACACTTGGAGGAGCTGCTCCCGGGCCATCCCGCAGGTAGCCCACCCGCCTCCTTGGTCCATCCCGCCAGGCCACGCCCACCCCACCCCTCCTGCCCGCATGACTGCCAAGCCCCACCCCATCCCACCAGCCCCACCTCCATGTCTTCCAGGCCCCACCCCACCCCACAAGGCCCCGCCCCAGTCCTCCCCCAGTGCTTCCCACGACAGCTGCCTGGGATGCCCAGCTCTAGCAGCCCAGCAGCTGCTTCCAGCTGGGTTGAAGCCTTTTTATGTCATACTTGTTGCTTTATTCCTAGGTGAAATGTAATGAGCAGCCTAATAGAGTGGAAATTTATGAGAAAACTGTGGAAGTCCTTGAGCCTGAGGTCACAAAACTGATGAATTTTATGTATTTCCAGGTAAGACGGCAAAATACTCAGAGGGGTTTAGTGCCGAGAAGTGGGAGGCTGACATGCTCCCACCTACCCATCACCAGGAAATCATTGAACAAAGTGCATGTAAATTACAGCAGCCACAACAGTTTCTGGGACAAAGGGAACTACGGCTTTTGATGTCTAAAGCTTTGCTGCCTTTCAGAATAAATACTGCTTTTGTATTTCACTTCTCTTCTCTATTTGAGAGTGAATTCCCATTTCCTTCACAAAGCCTGCTTTGTGTCAGTTCCAAGTACGTTTTTTACTTTCTGCCAATTTGTACTTTTGATTCCTCTGGTTTTTCAGGTATTTTCTTTGTCTCAGCCTGGTCCTGATCGCCCATTCCTGGTGGTCCCCGCCCTGGCCTTGGCCTGCTGGGCCTTTGGTTAGGCAAAAAGTGGCCATATAGAAGGGACTTTCTGGGTTTTTAAAGAAGTACTTTGGAAAAGTCTGAAGATTTTTTCATTATAGTTTCCTTTAGCAAAGGGAGAAGATAGGACTCAAGAGGAGAAAAATTTTTGTTTTATCTTGGAAGTTACCAAGAGGAAAATTCTAACCACCTTTTTTCACCTCTGAAAGTTGTAACATCTAAACTGTCTTAATGTTTTATTGGAGCATTTTGCTCAGTAACTTTGCTGGAATAATCAGCAAAATTTTTTTACTTTAGGGACATAGTTGGTAAAGTGCGAAATAAGTAATGATTGCTATAGAGCAAAGGCCTGTGGGAATTGCGTTACAGAAAGCAGACCCTTTACCTGAGTTTAAAGACTTGGCCCTAGAGCTTCATTGGGTGGATATTTTACCAGCAAGTACCAGTGAATCCAGATACTGTGCCTGAAGTCAGGACATGGAATTGGCCCCTTGCTGACCGGTGGTTTTTCTGCCTTCCCCATTCCCCTGCCCAGAGAAATGCCATTGAGCGTTTCTGTGGGGAGGTGAGACGCCTGTGTCACGCTGAGAGGAGGAAGGACTTCGTGTCGGAAGCCTATCTGATCACGCTGGGCAAATTCATCAACATGTTTGCTGTGCTAGATGAGCTGAAAAACATGAAGTGCAGTGTGAAGAATGACCACTCAGCATACAAGAGGTGAGCTCCAACTTTGTGCACGCCACGGGCCCGTGCAGAGAGCGCCTGGGCCAGCGGCATGCCTTGCTGCCTTGCACGGAACAGGTGCACAGCCGGTGTGTGCTGAAATCGTCACTCCTGGTTGGCAGCATCTTTCCAGTCTCAGGGCTGTGTGAGTACATGCTCCTAGGTATAAAGTGCAGGGGTGGCTGGCAGATTACATGTATATTGTGGTTTTACAAAGCTAGAACAAGCTCTGGGCATCCTGGTTATGCTCAAATGTTTATTCAGGCCCTCTCAGCACCCGCCCACCCCCGCTTTTTTTTTTTTTTTTTTTTTTTTTTTGAGACAGAGTCTCACTCTGTTGCCTGGGCCATAGTGCCGTGGCATCAGCCTAGCTCACAGCAACCTCAAACTCCTGGGCTGAAGCAATCCTCCTGCCTCAGCCTCCTGAGTAGCTGGGACTACAGGCACGCGCTACCATGCCCGGCTAATTTTTTCTATATATTTTTAGTTGTCCAGCCAGTTTCTTTCTATTTTTAGTAGAGATGGAGTCTCGCTTTTGCTCAGACTGGTCTCGAACTCCTTTGCTTAAATATTCCTCCCGCCTTGGCCTCCCAGAGTGCTAGGATTACAGGCGTGAGCAACTGCACCCGGCCTCAGCACCCTTGAGAAGGCAGACACACACACACGTGGCCCCTGCTCATGGAGCACAGGCATTTGGCTCAGGGAGCATCTTGGCAAAGGGACAGGTGGGCTCTGCAGCCTGAGGGGGCACTCGGGCATCGGGGCCAGCAGGATGACTGGAAAAGGCAGCGTGGCTCAGTGTGTGCCTGTGGAACACTGGGGGTAGGCGGTGGCCAGCCAGAGGCAGGCAGTGGGTGACAGCACAAGCTGTCTTTGCTAAGTCTGTGCTCCATGCTGTTGAAGATGTGTTTTGCTGGAATCAGATGCTAACTTCTTTCTTCTCTGCTATGTGAGAAATCTTAGCTCTAAAATTAAATTACAAGAGACTTTGCATCTGAGTATGCCCTAGTTACGTTGCATCTTAAATCATATAACTGTTGCTATATCTTTATGATAAAATTAACTTGGGATGCGACACCAAACAGATTTGAGGATCAGGCGGCAGTGGGAGTCGAGCTTGGTCCCCCAGAATTTTAAGTCTTATTCATGTGAAATAAGCACAATGTTTCATTCACCACCTGAAATCAGCTCTGCGCAGAAGCCTAGATCTTCAGAACTGGAGAAGGATCTCTGGAGTTGACTGAAGTCTCCACATCTCTGCCCCAGCAACTATTCAAATCAGTAAAGTGAACATGTTTAAAAAGGCAACCATATAAGCTTTAATTGTGTATAATTTAAAAAAACCCACAGCAATAACAGTGGCTTAAAAAAGATTGCAGTTTATTTCTCGCTTGCCTGAAAAGTCCTGAATTAGGTGGCCTGCAGCTGATTAGGGGGCTCTGCAGTTTTCAGGACGAAGGGCTCATGTTGTCTTGCTGCTTTGCTATCTTCAGGTGTTACCTTATGGTCCAAGATGGTTGCTTGAGCTCCAGCTGTCATTTCTGCATTCCAGTCAGCAGGGAGGGAGGAAAAAAGAAGGGTTCTTTCTCTTCCTTATAAGTAAACTTTCAAGTGCTTATCAGTGTTTTGTGTTATATGTCACGGCCCAGCCCTTGGTCACATAGCCACAGCTAGCTGCAAGGGAGGCAAGGTACATTGCTACTCCATGGACATTTGGGGCTTCCTGAGAAAGAAGGGGAGGAAATGAATGTTACGGTAGGTTATCAGTCCTTGCGGTGGAAACTTTTCTTTGATTAAACCCCCGAGGTTCTAGGGTGCAGAGATGTATCCTTATTTGGGCATTTTCCATTGAACTTTCTTGGGGGATAGCCCTGGATGTGCACAGTCCTCACCCCACCTTCACACTCAGCGTGTGCCTTGCACTATTGTTGGACCTCACTGTACAGGTCCTTTCATGCACGTCCAATTGTGTAGCTAACAGCAAAGTGGTGGTAGAGCCAGGACTCCATCTTAGGACTTTGGGCACCAGTGGTCCCTGTGGCGGCATGGCCAGGGACACATGCTCCTTGTTGGGAGGTGTCACCCAGAGGGCTCCTAACAAAGAGGCTTAGCATAGTTGGCCGTCTTCATCACAGGGATATGGGAATCACAGAGGAGGCAGTGGTCCTTCTCAGACCTGGGGACCTGAAGCCCTGTGCCTGTGGATGAGGTAGGCGTCTATCAGTGCAGGCGAGTGGCCAGTGTGCAGGGACCCCTCGAGAAAGTTCATCAGCTGTGGCCAGCAGGGTGGCGAGCTGTCTGGAGCTGTGTAAGACACATCTAAGTTGGCGAAAGACTGACCCGGAGTCCAGGGCTGGAGGCACTCCAGGATCGTGGTCCCCAGCTTCTGGGCCGCACACTGGTAGCAGTCCATGGCCTGTTAGGAACTGGGCTGCACAGCAGGGGTTGAGTGGCAGGCAAGCCAGTGAAGCTTCATCTGTACTTTTTTTTTTTTTTTTGAGACAGAGTCTCACTGTGTTGCCC